CCCAGGACTTCCGACGGTAAAGCTGGCCTGCCTGCCTAGGTCCGTCCCAGGCCAACCAATAATAATTAACAAAATGTATTTTTTTAAATATAGGCCTATGGCACATCCTGTACATGCACTTCAACTTTTACAACAAAAGCCTAGGCCTAGTAGGCCTACCTGTAGTACGTTCTACTGCTGTCTCTTATACACATCTAGATGTGTATAAGAGACAGATATATATATATACAGGCCTATCAACAGTGCACCCTCCAATTCGAGACCCCTCTAATTCCAGGCCACTTTCCAAGACCCAAATAACAATCTTCAACATTTTAACACTTAACACAAAGCTAGCCCTCTAATTGACCAACCCCGAGACCACCTCAAATTTTCAGGTCCCAAAAGGTGGTCTCGAATTGGAGGGCGAACTGTATAATAAACATATAATTTATACCATACCAATTATTTACTTCCTGTTACGTAATGATGTTGTTACATGATTGGTCAAAACAACCCGCCCTTTCATGAGCGTGTGGTTTCTCACGTAGGCAAGCCGTTCTCTCGACGTAGCTACTAAGTACAGTACTGCGGCAACCACTCTACTACTACTAGGCCTAGTACTGTTTTACAACCGGGCCTAGTGCAACCATTGTTTACATAGATAGCAACTGAAAAGAGCGGCAAAAATGATTTTCACCGTCACCTTTCTAATATGGATTGTAGAACGATTTCTAGCAAGTCTGAGACAAACAACAGGCAAGAGTCCTAAAGAAGGTGCGTACTTGGCCTAGGCCTAGCTAGAATGCCCAGGGTAGCCTTTGTAAGCCTAATTAATTATTCCCGCTGCTGAGCAGCAACCGGTGTCGCCGCTATGCCCATGCTGCTTTGCCTTATTAATTCTGTGTCAGTCAGTGGTCCGGTAGGCTGACCGGATGAGAGTAGCAGTTGAATGAGTACAGAGAATTAAATATGACTATCCATGGAGTGAATGAGGAGGCTGTCACCGACGGGGGTACGATGACATATGTCCCCTAGGGGGCGAGGCTGCTCAGAACCACTTGAAGCCTGAAGGGGTCTACCTACAGATTAAGCCCTGGAAGCATTTTCGGGACTCTGAAAGGGTTAACAGTGGCGTATCTAGATGTCTTGAAATGAGGTGCTGATAGGGGGCTGAAGGTGAATTGGGTGGGGGACTCGATGATCAGTTAAGTGGCACTTATTTGCAAAGTAAGGTGATTTTTAACTACTTGACCTTGATTTTTTGTGGTGGGGGGGGGGGCGGCGACAGGAGGAGCGCAAGTAATTTTTGGAGGGGCGTGCGCTTCCCGCACTCCTCTCGTATAAAAATGTATTAAATTGCAAAATGCAATGTTTAATCAAAACGTAGGCCTAGGCATAAATTTCTCAAAATGTAGATCTAGTTTCCCAAAATGAAATTCTAATTTTTCACGATGATTTGCTCTCTAATGGCCACCCCTTACTGGTATGCTTAGCTGGCAAAATGATGGGATAACTTCCCAATAGGGGTGCTTGGGTAGAGACCTTCTTTTGGGGGAGCCTTTGTGGATATGCCACTGGTTATTACATTCTATTATAAATTAGTTAATGAATACCTGTAAATGAAATGAAAATGGCTTGCAAAACTTCAAACCAATGCCAAAGCAGGGAAGGATTTAGAGAGGGGCATGGGGAATGTTCCACCTTCCCCCTTTTTTGCCATTTTTATTTCTTTAACAAAAACTAAAAAATGAAATGCAAATGAGCAATTTCACAGTAAATAGACATGCTCCAAGCAATATTTTTTAGGAAGCTACAACTAAAGATTTTATTGTTTAAAATTAAATATTTTTACATACATTTTATCATATCAATGAGTATACATATTAAAAATCATTTCATGATCACACAATTCACAGTAAAAAATATAATGATAAATTGACATACTTTTTAGCCATATTTCACCATACAAAAATGTTACATGACAAAAATATCTAAAATTAGATGTAGGATATTTTTTTTAAATTGTATTTTAAGGATGGATTCATTATTTCTATAAGAAATATATTGGAAACTAATAAGATAAAACACTAGAAAGAAAAATAAAACCCCTTTTTATTAAAGAAATATGCAATTTGATGGTTTTTGTAATGGACGTAACATTGTATGTCAAAAAATTTAGGAAGTAAAAATGGCCCAATATTCCTAAAAAAAAAATATATCTGTTACTTTTAAATGTTTATCAAATTAGTGAATATATACAGTAAGAAATAAAAAAAAAATTGGTAATCATGGATTTTATTTTTGGTGCATCCACAATGGAAAGTCATTGACCCAAATGTATGTCAAAATCCTGTTCGTCCGTTACATGGGAATAGGATTTGTAGTGTATTAAAATACAAACATGCATATTTCTTTTGAAAAGATAATTTAACTATCTTATAATACCCCTTTTCCAAAACATTGATGTCATATGTTCTGTTCCACAGAGTTTAGCCAAAATCATCTGTATTCTATTTTTCCATGAAAATGTTAGGATATCATGTCCATTTACTGTGAAATTACTCAAATACCGTACAAAATCTTACAATATTTTGTAACGTAGTAGCAAAAACTGAACACTATTTCTGGGCATCTATTAAGCATTCCCACATTTTTTTTTGCCTTTAATTGATTAATTAGTTTGTTGGTTGGATATAAACATACTGTATGGTACCATCATAGTTAATAAACCAATAGACCAAATGGTAGGTTTCTACTGTTAAATAAAAGATTCTATTGTTGTATTGAGGAACTTGAGTACTAAAGTATTATTTGGCAGTCTAAACTGTCATTATCAAGTGAAATGGTTTATCAGCTAACGAAAGTAGGGTTGAGGCGTTTGACATCTCTAGGACTGAAGACAAAATGGAATCTCATGTGTAGGTATACTTTAACTAATTTAACAACTAGAAGTTAATTATAAAGATGATTATAAAATGATAATATCTACAAAATTTACTGTCTTCATCAGTATTATTTTAATGCTACTAATATATATTTACCATTTAATTTGTAGATTGTTTCTAGAAAATGAGTCTCTACTTTAGGTAAACTGAAACTATCACGAGTTTATAAGAATTGAAGTCTACAAAAAATGTTATTATAAACTCATTTAAAAGTTTTTTTAGTCTTACTACATAGTTTAGTTTTAATTTGAGGTCACTTTTGTTTGCAGTGGCAAACATTGTGCACTAAATGAAAAAATAAGTAAAAATGGTTTGAAAATGAACTGTTACTGGTTATTTCATTTCCATATAATAGTTTACATACAGTGGGT